CGCCCTGTTGATGACGTCAGCGACGCGGTTTAATCGGGCGCGGCTTAGTCGAGCGCGGTTTTGACGGGTCACGGAAATGGTCACTAAATGAATGGCTGTAAGTTGTGGACTAGAAACGTTTTGTTCTATTTTAACGGAAGGGGAGATTCTTAGGCAAGGGAAGCAAGGCTTACACACAGCGATGGTTCAGTAGCAGTGGTGGGTTGCCAATTTTCTTTTACTACCGGTTCGGGCATGCTCCCGCATGCGCAGAAGCGTCCAGATGGGTGGGCGGAGCCTTCCGCTGTTACTACTACCGGTTGGCCTGATCCGGGCCAAACTGGGAGCATAACCCACCTCTGTTCAGCAGCATGTAGAGATGTACATGTCCCCACCCCCAAATTAAAGAAACTAGATTTTCATTTGCTTTAAAGTTCATTTTTAAAATGAAATGGATGGTTCAAGAAAGCATCTCAACTCCCTCTCTTCCTAGAATAGAGACTGCAGATGGACTATTTTTATAGAAGCTATCTTCTTTTGTCCCCGTCTCCCCCCTCGTATCTTTTTGGAGTTACCATATTTTTCGGAGTATAACACCCACCTTCTCCCCCCTCTTAAAAGTAGGGGGAAATTTAGGTGCGTCTTATAAACCGAATAGAGGTGTTTTTGGCTCCTGAAGAGTCTGTGTCGGGTTTTCTCCCTCCCTGGCTCCCAGAAGCACTCTACAATGCTTTGCACATTCCATTTTCACCAAAAACACATCCATTTTTGGGCTCCCAATGTCCTCCGTGCATTGCGTTTTCACACTCCCAGGCCCCCAGAAGCACTCTGCAGTGCTCCGCACAGCCCATTTTCACCCAAAACACACCCATTTTTTTTTTTTAAAAAACGGGCCCGTTTTTGGCCTGCAGAGTGCTTCTGGGGGCTGGGGAGGGCGAAAACGTGACCTTTTTGGGAGCCCAAAAACGAGTGTGGTTTTTGGAGAAAATGGGCCGTGTGGAGCATGTGCTTCTGGGGGCCAGGGAGGCTAAAAACGCAACGTACGGAGGCCAAAAACTATTTTTTTCTTGTTTTCCTCCTATAAATGTAGGTCCGTCTTACAGTCTGAAAAATGTGAGATCTTTAAATTATTTTGGGGATTTTGGCATCAGAAAGGAACAGAGCTAGGTTTTACAGCTGTACAAGCCAGGCAAGTTGGAGTCGCTATTTCGAGAAAAACCCAGGTCTTGTTCCTAGAGATCAAACCAAGGAGTTAAGATGCCTGAAGGAAATTTGGAAGAGGTTACAACAGAAAATAAACTCTACCCGTTTTGCTACTGGCCTTTGGGTTCTGGTATACAACAATCCATTTAGTGACCGGTTGAAGTTGCAACCGCACTGAACAAAAGTGACTTCCGAGCAGCCCTTGTATTTTATAACTGTTGCAGCATCCGCAGAATCATAACGGATCAAAATTTGGGCGCTTGGCAACTGACCAGCATTTACAACATTTGCAGCATCCCGAGTTCAGGTGATCATCCTTTTATGATCTTCCAAGCTGGCTTCTATCAAAGCAAAGTCAGTGGGGGATCCTGGATTCACTTAACCACTGTTTGATTCACTTAACAACTGTGGCAAAAGTCCGTAAAATTGAGGGTGACTCACCCAGCTTAACAACAGAAATTCTGCTCTCAAACGCGGATGCAATTTGAAGACTACCTGTATTCAGGGGTGGGTTGCCGCCGGCATTACTGCCGGTACGGTGTACACACAGTTTTGCGCATGTGTGCTCATTTTCGCTCATGCGCACACCAGATGTGCACCCCATGTGCGTGCACATTTGACCATAAATGCAATAAAAATCGCTCTGTGCATGCGCAGAGGTAAAAAACAGGATGGCGGCACCTACAGCTCTTCCGGGAGAACCGGTTTGGGGGCGTGGCAGGCCTGGGTCACTGCTGGTTCCAGAGACCCAGGCCGCCAAACCATTACCGGTTTGCCCAGTGGTAGGAACCCACCACTGCCTGTATTGCTCCTGTACGCAGAAGCTCCACGTAACTGCCAATACGATGAATATTTATTGCTCATAGATAACACATAGGCCCCCACATAAAATGCTGAGCCACCCCATGTTAATTTATCCTGACACAAAAGCCTTATGAAGATGCACAGAGGGCACTTTTCGGCCATTCAGATCGGGGGGGGGGGGGGGAAACACTTTTGCAATCACTAATGTGACCAAAAGCCTCTTTATCCTCATGCTCTGCCTTCACAAAGCATACTGGAACATTTCCCCATCCTGCGGAGTTAAGACTCTTCTGTGGAAAACAAAGATAATCAGACAGCAGAGGGACTAGCCAGAGTTAGCCAGAGAACTGGCCTGGCCTCCTCTTAATACTACACAGGTTGGCAACCGCTGGGCCATGTTGGGTCAAAGGAGCGCCAAACTTTATTTAAGAAAATTTACTCTGTTTTCCCAAAAATAAAGTTGTTTTTTTTTTGGGGGGGGGGGGGGGGAAGCAGGAATAAAGACTAAATTAGGTTTAGTTCTGATTCTGGAAACAACAAAGGCAGGCAAGCTTTTTGTGATGGGTGGGTGCGTGCGTATGTGTGTGTAGGTGGCTTAAAAAAAATTAGACCTCTGAAGATCTCCCACACACGCCATTATGAGAAACTACCGTGTTTCCCTGAAAATAAGACAGGGTCTTATTTTTTTTGATCCCCGAAATAAGCGCTTGGCCTTATTTTCAGGGAGGTCTTATT